CTAATTAAGCAAAGCAGCAAATGGTAAACAGGAGCTGGCTGAGTTTTAATTGCTGCAATTCTCCTAGGAAACGGATCCCCCGGCTCTCCTGCAACCCCTGCACGTGTGTGCCAGCACCAAGGGGTGCAAGCAGAGGTGCTGAGCAGCTCGGGTGGGATCCCCGCTGCAAATCCCAGCTTGGTGATGCTCTGGGAGGAAGCGGTGATGCAGAGAGAAAGTTGTTTGGGGTTTGGGAGCATTTCTGAAGTTGTTTTTAACAAAATCCTTTGGCTTTGCGAAATCAATGCATTTGGGCTGAAACAATTCCAGGAATTTTAAACACTTTTTGCTTAGAGCACACCGCTCCTGTGGCTGTTCAAATTCTTCTGTAGGAGCTGAACAATCCCACTGGTGGTTCCCTTGCCCCCAGCTATAGCTTTCCCAGTGTGTTATCTCTCCTGCCTGGTCCTATAAACCTGACCCTGTCCAGGTCTGCAGGGGATGCTCTTGCTCAAACCCCTGAGGGTTAGGAAGAGCAGGAGCTGCTGCTGGGAGGGATGAAGCCCACTTTGGGCCCTCTGGGAGCTGCAAGATTCAGGCTGCTGGGATGCCAGATTGCAGCAGACATGGGGCTCTGCTAAATGAGTCTGGGCTCCGGCTCTTCCAGTCCTCTCCAAAAGGCAAAGGGAAAAAATCCTCCTTTTTTTTTCCATAGTGTTACATCAAACCCTGGTGTGATTTGTGTAATGACATTGTTTTTCTTTGCCTTTTAGTTGGAGGACATTGTCAGGATGGCAAACTTCAAGGGTCATGCGCTTCCAGGCAGTTTCTTCCTGCTCTTTGGGCTCTGGTGGTCTGTGAAATACCCACTGAGGCATCTCAGCCAGAAAGCAAGCAAGAAGTCCCAAAGGAATTACTGCTTCCAGCGTGTGGATGCCATCGAAGGAGCAGTCAAAATCGTCTTTGCTCTAATAGGTAAGGGTTATATCAGAGTAGCTGTGTTGGTAGCTTGCCAGCCTGTAGTGATGGCTGTGCTCTTACTCCATAAGGGATGGCCCTTACTCCAGAGAAACTGTCCCAGATGTGGAAGGATGCATCTCCTTAATGGTCTTGGTCTCTAATAGAGTTTGATGAAAAAAAAAAAGAAAAAAGAAAAAACCAAACAAATCTCACACTGCTTCCCAAGGACCAGCTACCATTAATCCAGGGAGTCCTGATTTTTATATCCAGTCCTTTCTCCCTACCCCTAAATCTTCAGCTCTTGCCTTCAGAGAGCCCCCGCAGCAGTGAGTGGCATCAATCATCAGAAGCACAATGGTGTGATCTTGTGTGTCTGAGCAGGGATGCTGGCAGAGCAATTTGTCCCGGACGGTCCACACATGTACCTCTACAGCGGGGAGAAACGCGACTGGGTGAAACTGATGAACTGGCAGCACACCACCATGTACCTCTTCTACGGGCTCTCCGGGGCAGTGGATGTCCTCACCTACCTGTTCAACACCGTGCCGCGGGGTCTGGACCGCCTCATGCTCTCTGTGGCTGTGTTCGTCGAAGGTCGGTAGCAGAGGGCACTGAATTTGGGGAGGGGTCTTGGAGGGTGAGTCAGAGCGGGACCAAAATTTGCCAGGCTGAGATATTGCTCTGGACACCCCCAGACAGGACACATTTTAGGTCTGATATATTATCGAAGGATTGTCTGTATCAGGATGGGAAACACAGGCATCAATAGGTCCTGGCTTTGCCTGGCTTGGGGTTTCTGGGGTGAGAGCGGTACAAAGCAGAAGGCTGAGTTCCCTTGTTATGATGAATGGCTGGTGGATGCAGCATCTATCTGACATCCACAGAGCTGTTTGTGTGCCCTGCATTCCCCCGAGAGCCATTAATTGTGCTGCAGGCATCGTCATTCTCATCTGCTTGCGCTGCACGTGGCAAATTCAAGTGACTTATTCTGGCTTCAGCACATCATGAATATCATTTTATCTTCAGACTGTCTTGCAAGTTGCAAGCCAGGATTTCAGACCTCTTGGCTCACACAGGGCAGGAAGAAGACACTAGGAAATGAAGTCCTTGCTTTTATTGAAAACTCCTTAACCAAGGCATGTCTCCTGGTATTTTCTTCTCCCTTGTCCAAGTGGTCTTTGAAATAGCAGCACGGACAGTTCAACGGGTAAAGTCTGGCATGTAAGAAAAGGAAATAGATCTTGGAGGGGGCCTGGGTGCTGTCTGTGGCATGCCACTCATTTCCATGTGACATTAAGAAATTATTTCACTTCCTTGTCCTTCAAGCTTGCTAATTGCTCACATTTCCCATCTGATAAAGCTCACCAAAATCTAAGTGGGACATGATTTGCTCTACCAGGGCTCTGTGATCTCGGTCATTGTGCTAAATGCTGCTCTAAGGGGGATACGTATTTTGGCAGGTTGTCTCTTCTATTACCACGTCCTTCACCGCCCCATGCTGGATCAGCATATCCATTCCCTCCTGCTCATCGCCGTATTTTCAGGGGCCTGCAGCACCATGCTGGAGGTCTTCCTCTATGACAACATTGTCCTGGAGATGTTCAGAGCTGGTGTCACCATCATCCAGGGAACGTGGTTCTGGCAGGTCAGTTCTGGCTTCTATTGCAGAGCTGAGCACCGAGGTAGGAGAGCAATGGCAGAGAGGAAAAGCAGCTGTACATCATGTATCAATCACGTGTCTCTGAAGAATAATTTTGCAAGGCTCACTTCATAAATAGATCATAACCCAGAATGAGAATTTACTCAGCACAGGTCATCTCTGATGGCTGCTCCGGCTGAAATAGCTGTTTGTCTCGGCTTATTGCTTCTCTGGGGGAAAGAGAAGAGGCGAGTGCTCAGAGTAAGCAAGCAACATTTTGCAGTACCTAACAACCAAGTACTAATTGCTTAATGTGTCTAATGCACCCGGCAGCACTCCCTCTGGTTTAGCGGAAAGACACAACCCTCACCAAGCAATCAAATGGCTGAGTAAAAATTAGGCCACCTGATTGCCTTGGTAGGAGCTGGAAAGACAAAGAAATCGAGTAGAGATAACCAGTCCCAGAACTAAATTGCCAAAATAAGTGGGAGTTCTCCTCCTGCTCACTCCCAGGGCTGCTCCACTGACTCAAACCACCCTTCTTCCAGAGGTTAAAAACTATGCTAAGCTTGTAAAACACTAAATTTGGAGTTTTTAAAGGTTGGGTAGGAGTCTGTGATCCAGATGGACAAATGTATTCAGATTTTGTGCAGAAGAAGAGATTCTGAAGGTGCAGGCTTGCTTGGTGTGGCTACAAAACTCCTGCAGAAGTTTCTCAAGCCCAGTTTGCTTCCAGAACATCTCTCTGAGATTGGAAAGCCCCATTTTCAGACCAGCTTGGGGTCATGCACCAAACTCATAGCCAGGCTGGACTTCAAGGCCAGGCAGAAAGATTTTTCCCCATGGTAATGAACTGCTTCTTCCACCTAGATCGGGGTCGTGCTGTTCCAGCCATGGGGAGGTCCCATGTGGGATGAGAGCGACCACGACAACATCATGTTCCTCACCATGTGCTTCTTCTGGCACTGGGCAGCCGCTGTGGTCATCCTGGCCATAAACTACACTGTTGCGTACTGGTACGGCTGGGGCTTGGGGCTGGGCAGGAGCGGGGATGGGGACATCAGGATAGGGATGTGCAATGAGCAGCCTGTCCTGGAGTACAAAGTCACAGCTGAATAAGCATCCTGTGGCTCCCGCAAGTTTTAGAGCGTGGCGACAAGCGTGCGTTTTGTTTGATGAGTGCACAGAATGCAAAATAGGGGCAGCAAGAGGCACGGGCATTAAAGACAGAGAAGGCAAATAAGTGAGTCCCTGAGCTGCTCCTGCGAGTCATGCACTGCTTCTGCTCTGCACTGACAGCTGAAAGACGGCTTTTAATTCAATAGAGAAATCAAATCATTACCAGGATGCCCGACACTTGGCCCATCTTTGTCCTTTCCCTTGCAAGGATTTCCAAGCATCTGACACTCATTAAGTTATTAGCAGTACAAAAAAGAAAACCAGCTTTTTAGGACCTCTGCAACAGCTTATCTTCCTCTGTGTGCTCATACAAGTACACCTTGCTGCCCTGAGCAGTCTGGGAGTTTGGCTAATGGTGATTTCTCACTCGTGTGTTCCAGCTGCATCCAGAGGTGCAGGAGAGACTGCAGCGAGCCCTACATTGGCCTCGGACTCCGGAAGCAAAAGTGTGACACAAGCTCCCAGGCTGCTTTCTTAAACGGATCAGATGAAGAGTGAGGAGAGTGCACTCTCCTTCTCCAAATATGTGAAGAATCAGTTTTTCAGAAGAAAGACAAAACCAAAATCTAATGAAATATTTATGTTTGGGGAGAGTGGAGAGGTGCCACCGTTCTGCTCTTGGGAAGCCCATTGTGTGCATGGGTGGTAGCTGTCCCAACCTGTACCCAAATGTCACCATCACTGTCCACAGTGACTTTTAGCTACAAAATGAAGTGCAGAAGTTCAACATTATGAGATCATTTTGTCCTGTGGGTTCCCATGAGTGTCTCCATAGTGAAGGATGGCATCCTTTGGCCGGGTGATTCTTCCAAGCCCATGCTGGCCTGACCTGCTGTGACCGAAGGCAGGGAAGGTCCAGGCTGGGGTCAGGTCTTCCAACACCTCATCACCAAAATGTCATCCCAAGGAGGAAGAGCAAAGGAGTGCTGAATGCGGGATTATGTCAAATTTGCAACATCACAGCTTGATTGAACACAATACAAATTTTATTACCAAAGCTTTGAACTGAAGACACGTTTTAAATAGTTTTATATTCACTTAAAATCTTAAAGAGTGAATAAATGTGAATTAAAAACCCTCATTGAGCTGATATCCTTAAGTTTAAGTCTTATAAATTATAGAGTGTGCAATAATGGCTTAGACAAATCCAGCTCTCAGACCTGCAAAGCCTGGAGGCCTGCAAGACACATGGCTGAGCAGCCAGGATTCATGAGACGTCCCACATTTCCACTGAACAAAACCCCCTCGGCTGGGAAAGTGAGATGGAACAGGCACACTTTTCATTTTCAGCCTGCCTTTGCCAGATAATTACTTGCAAAAACATCACTTTGTAGATAAGAGGAAGATGTGCCAATAGTGAGTATAAAGATTAAGAAATGTATATAAAATAAACACCAGTAGAAGCTGAGTTACAGCTGTTCGGGTCTCAAACCCTGGGGCTAGGAGGATGCTCTGCACTGAAGTCTTCTCAGTGTCGGGGGAATGGCAGCAGGGTTTGTGCTTCTGCACGTGGCTGAACCAAAAAGCAGCTGCCCCTCTGCCCGCAGGTCCCAGCCCCTTTACTCTTGTGCACAGAGGTTGCTGCAGACAAAGGGGGCTACAGTCAGGATTTTATTGCTTTATAACAGTGCTGTAAAGACTAGCTTTTCTTGAATGTCAGCTTCCTTGCATTTCCACCACTTTGGAGCAGGTTTATTTTGCAGCATTGGATATCGGGAGGTGCCAATAGGCTCAGTGCAAAGGGAATTAAGCGGCAGAGTAATCCGCCACTGTAAATCCATCTGATAAACACCATGCAATTAAGTCTCATGAATTGTAACTGATGAAGACAACAAGCATTTTGCAGATACTTATTCTGCTAAGAGGTGATTGGAATATTTTTTTTTTCTAAACTGTGCCAATTCCTCTTGCTGCTCTGATGAGACGTGACCCGGGGAGAGCATTTTGCAGCTGCTGACTCCTAGTGCACAGAGCAAGCCTTATTTGCAGGGTGACAAACTGAGCACCTAGAGTGCTCCAGGACAGAAAACAACCTTAATTGAAGAAATAAAATATAAATGATAATAATAATTAAAAAAAAAAAAAAAAAAGTAGTGCTCTGAATTAGTTTCTTAAAAAAAAAAAAAAGACAATTAGAAAAAACATCATTCTTCCCATTAAATAGCCACATGAGGGCAGCACCAGGTGGCAGAGCTGGTGTTGGGCGTGCAGAAGCTGCTCCAGGCTGGCCGAGGTCACCCTCACCTTGCAGGCACCCTCCTCCTTGCCGTCCCCAAAAGCCGGAGGTTATTTCCATCAGAGGGGATGCAGCTGAAAGCTGACCTTGTGTTTTTTTTCAAAGCACTCGTTGCTTTTGAGCATGAAGGTGGGAAAGGGTTTATTGAATTCTTCACAGCTCTGTTTGTTTGTCTTAATCAAGTTGCAGTCTCCTTTCCCTCTGAGATCTCCTCCAGCATTTTCTTGTCCCCTTGTCACCATGTGGCCACAAAACACTTTTCCCCTCTGTAGCACTGAGAGTCTGGAATAGCTTCTGTCTGCCTCATTAACTCCTGGTCCTACAAACATCCTAGGACTGTCAGTATAGTGCTTGCTAATTTGTTTTCTTTCTCTGGAGCACATTCTTTTCCAAGGTATGAAGGTCAGCAAAGGAGGAGAGATACAGCCTGTGGTTAAGTTAGAAGAAAATACAGGTGATGTTTGCTTTTTGAGGAACTTGTTTTTGGGTGAGAATTAACAATTTGTGTTTTAGCTAAGAAACATGTTTGTAAATAGCTTTGGTACCCAAAGAAGGGCATGAAGGTTGCTGGGCGCCAAGGGCACAGTAAATGGTCCAGAGTTGGCTTATTATATAGTGAAGTGCAACCAAAAGCCATCCTCACATTTATTTCTTACATGACAGACATGCCAGGATAGTCCTAAATGAAGTACTACTTTTAACACAGCTTTACTACCAACCAGCACGTTTTTCACTATATAAATTGAATTACCAGCTGGCATCTTGAAACTATGTACGGACCGAATGGCCATGCAGCTGGCGTGGACCTGGGCTATGTTTGTAGCCATATCAGTCTTTAAAAGGGCTGTAATGCCCTGGGAGATGTTTGGGGTGGTTTGGTTTTAGCCCTATGTCACCGCAGCCTGGTGCTGGTGGATGGTGTTGGTCAGTGCAGGGCTCTGCCTGTTCAAGGCAGGGAGGTGCTGCTGGTTATCCCAAAGTGATACCTAGCCCTGTTTCTTCTGTCTTTCTCAGTTGTTCAGTTTCTCAGCACCGAGAGCCCCAGCACAGCCTGTCCATGAGCTGCTCATTTCATGGTTCTGACCAGAGATAGGATCTACCGCTGCCACCCTTCACGGCCACGTTTATGTAAGGCCGGAATGATAGCGTAGGAAGCAGAACAAGCCCTGCCTATGCTTTTACCACCTGCTTCACCTCCCCTGTTGCCTGTTTATGAAAGCCTGTCTTAGCATTCGTCATAATAATAATAATACTTTGCAATTCCCTAACAACCATCCATCTGCAGAGCCTGAGCTGCTGGCAAACCTTTAATTAGATTGTGCCTCCCACCACCCCCAGGAAGTAGGCAAACATTATCACATTTTTTCATTAGCACCAAGGCCGATGATGAACCTTCAGGGAGAGGATGTTGCAGTTACAGCCAAGAAAAAATAAAAAATGAAGTCAAATTCAGCTTGGTGTTGAGCTTGGGAACATCAGGGCAGCTGTGCGATTACTGGGACTATCCCATAATGTTCCCCCATATCCCAGTGGATTGTAGCTCAGCACAGTTCATTGGAGTGCATCTGTTCATGATAGCTGTGATAGCACCCATGCTGTGTGGCTGACCCTTTCTGTGATCTGGGGGGGCTGCCATCATTTTGTCCCCTGTTCCCAAGCACTTCTCACAGCCTCATCCTCACCTTTTGTTGTGGGCATGCCTTAAAAGGCTGGAAACCCTTTTTCCCCAAGCATTTCATGCACTGCCAGCTTTTCCCAAAGTCTGCTTTGCTAACAGACTGGCAGGTACTTTATTTTAAGTTACCCTTTCACAGAAACCTTTCTCTGCTGGTTTTGCTCCTGGCAGGCTCTTTAACCTCCACGGCAAGGGACAGGCATGGTGCAGCTGGGCCTCATTTCTTCCCCTCTTCCCCCAGCTGCTGGCTCCCAGCTCCTGTTCTCCTGCAGTCCTGGGGGGCTTTGCTCCTGCTTGGTGACTGGCTTTGAGCTCAGCTGCTTTTTGGGATCCTGCTGTGTGGAGCTGGCTGCTAGCAGAAGGGAAAACCCAGACACAAACAGTGCTGCTGTGCTCTTCCAGTAACCCGCACGCTCCAGGTAAGCTCGCCTTGCTGTATTATTTTTGGGTGGATCCATAGGGAGGGCTGCTATGGGGGCTGTATTTCTCTTAGTGCTCATTCTTAGTGGACCCTGCAAGCTCCTGAAAGCTTGGCTTGGTGCTTGTACTTTGGCAGCCCCTCTGCTGCTGCAGGCTTCCCTGGGAATTAGGGATCCCCTTCCACATACACTTGGCTCCCACCGTGCAATCTATAGGACAAGCAGCACCTGCAGGTGAGCGCAGTGTCTGTTGCCCTGTCCCTGTTTGCATTTCTCCATCCTGCGAGCACTGAGTTGCCTCTTGTTGGAGGTGAGCAAGCCCTGGAGCTGCGTGCAGGAAGGGCTGGTGGCAGCGGTGCAGCACGGCAGCACACCAGCAGCTGCTTGTTTTTCTTCCTTCCTCCTGCTTGCTGCCACTGATAGGGAGATAATGCGTGTAAACAAGCTTCTGGCTATGGCTCGGTGGCCTTTCTGGCTGCGCTGGAGAACAGCCCATCACCCTGGGGTAGGCTGGTTTGCCTCCTGCTCTTCCAGCCTCAGGGCTTCCCCGGGGTGCTGGCTCATGTGCGTGGCTCTTGCAGGGCTGAGCATTGGGCATGGCTCCTCCTGTACCCTGCTGGGGAGGTTTTTGGGTTCACAGGGGGTTACGTAAATGTTTGCAGCTTAGAGAATTACCAGAATGCAAATGCAGTGAGTGGCTGTAAATGCCCAGGCCTGCTCCTTGAGCAGCGCTGCTCCTGCACCATAAACCCAGTGCTTCGAAGGGAGCTGGGGGCAGTGGGGGGATCGTTCGCCTCGAGGCACCTGCATTGCTCATCTGTGGGGCTGGTGAGGTGCTAAGGCTGGGCACGCAGGAATTTGAGGCATGCTTTGCAGGTCAGTAATGGTTTGTGGCTGCAGCTGCTTGGTGTTGGGCAGTGTTGTGTCAAGTAAGGGAAAAAAAAAAAAAAAGGAGTAAAATCAGGCTACTGTGTTCTGCCAACCCTGCTTTTGGGGGAAAGGGGCCATACTCCTCCTCCTCATCTGGAGATTGGAGAGATGGAGATTGAGCTTGCAAGGGCTCAGCTCTGGTTTGGGAGCCCCTGACCCCAAACTTCTGCCTACAGGCACCTTACATAAGGCCAGACCCCATAAAGGGGTTACTGAGTCCAGTTCTGGGACCTCAGAGCCCTTCCAGCAGGGCCTGGCCATGTCGGGCGATGCTGCATCCTTGTCTTTCCTTGACTCTTTCCCCAGCCATCCAAAAAAAATAGCATGATAACTGAATATATGTGGTTGCCATGGGAACAGGAATTGGCTGCTCTTCCTGATTTTGTGGCAAACTCCAGGAGACTTCTTGTTAATAGCAGGCCGAGGTGCCTCTGGTTGTGAAAGCCGGTTGACTCAGTGCGCTTTGAGCTGTCCTGCAGGATGCTCGGCTCTAAACATCCTGTCTGAGGGCCACCTCCCCGCCGCTTCTCCCTTTATCTGCCACTTCTGAGTAATAACCGCTCCTTTCTGCCCGCATCTGGCAAGGGAGAAGGACAGGCAGAAGTCACAGGTAAACTGCTCTCATTCCCCGTAAAGAGAAATGGGTGGCTGAGCTGTGCGTGGGATGGACGTGGCTTATTGAGCCCAGTTCTTCAAGAGGTTTTATGTGGTGGCAGCCACTGCAGTGTCTGAGTTTCTGTGGCTTTAGCACTTCTGGGGGTCATCAGCTTTTGGAGCTGTGCCGTGGTGGAGGATTTGCAGGACAGGAGACAAGCTGGGTGCCTCTGCTGCTGGGCAAGGGCTGTTGGCACAAGAGAGGTGTGCCCAGCAGGGGTGGAGGAGGATCCACAAAGACATATATCTGGGACAAGACTCTCCAAATGTCCCTGGCTAGGCTGGTTGTCCTGGGGTGCTGCCTCTCCCTGCTGGGCTGATTGTTGCACCCACAGATACTCGTGCATCCGTGTGGACAGCATCCTCCCAGCAGCAGCGATGTCCCTGAACCAGCAGGAACGATCCCCTGTGTGGGACAAAAATCATCAGTGCCATTTGGCTGGACACATGCTGGAGCTGTGCTGGCTCTGGGGGAGAGCCTGGAAATCGGGCAGAAATGCTGTCCTGCCCAAATGTGCAGTGCTGTAAGGAGAGAAGGCAGCTCCCGTGCGGCTGCTAAAGGAAAAGCATCACAGGCTGGGAGCTGCGGGGGGAGAAAGGCAGCTCAGGTAATAACTTCTGACTGCAGCCGTATTTCACATCCTCTGACAGGCATAGTAGCTTGCAGGAAAAATAAATAACCCGAGTGCCTCTCCTCAGCCAGCACTGCGTTCTGGGGCTGCGACTCTCCTGGAGCTCAATCAGCGTGCGTGTGAGCCTGGCCTGGGTGCTGGGGGAGCTGGTGGGTGAGGTGGGCTGGGTTTGGCCTCGGTGGGATGGTTTTGGGGATGGGGGGGTGTTTTGCTGCGCCTCAAGTATGTGAGCCGTGCAAGTGGTTTGTTGCTTGGAAACACGTTGGTTTATCTGAAAAATAGTGGCTGTTTCTTAAAATAAACTTTTTCTTTTTGAGAGGGTTATAGACAAGATTCTGCTTGACCAAACGGTGGGCTTGGGGCCCATTTCTGATGCTTGAGTGTGGGATGTTTCTGCTTTCCTACTCCTCTCCTCCAATTAAGCATGTAAAATTAATGCTCCAGCTATTTATCTTGATCGGGGTATGTTCCTGACTCCAGCTTCAGGCTGTTGTCCTTGCAGTTACAGTTCCTGCAGGACAATGGTCAAATTTGGTTATAGATCGTGCAATTACACACTGTTTAAATGTGATTTAAGAGCATTTGTTCTTAGTCACTTCTTCAAGTGGATGCAGGTGCTAGGAAGATACGTGCCCTAGCCTTGGTGTTCAAGCTATAATCAGCAAAGACATGGGCTCTCCTGGGGCACGATCCACTTCACCCTCCCGTAGGCACCCAAAACTCAGCAGAAAGCCACCACCAGCTCCTGAACCAGCTGCTGGGACAGGGCCGATCTCATCAGCCCGAAGGGCTGTTGAGTAACTTCCCTCCTGAAAGGAAACCCTAGCATGGTGTGAAGAGCTGCGAGCCTTCCCCACATCACCTGTGTCCTGGAGATGCGATGGGTGACACAGCCTGGAAATCAAAATCCTGTCCTTGCCCACGCTGAACCAGTTCGAATGACTCCAGTACTAGAGCCAAAACCTGGCTGGGGACACCTTGTAGAGCTCTCCCTCACCTCAGGTGCTTGCCCCGCCACATCCTACCCTAATTTCACAGCACCTAATTACTTTCTCGTGTGGGAGGACTTGGAGAACGTGCTGGAGTTGTTCATCCAGCCTCTGCAATTTCCTTTGGTATTTATAAACACGAGGATGTGATTTGTGATGCAAGGCCCTCCTGATGCAAGGCGGTGTGGTAGCTCTTCCGCGGGTGAGTAACACTCGCTTCCGCACAAGTGCGAGTGGAAGGGAAGGAGCAGAGAGCCTGAGAGGAGGGAAGGAGCGAGATCTCCTCCAGTGATAGATGTATACAGAGAGCAAGGAGAGGGGTCTTGCTGGAGGAGACAAGACCACCCCAAGGTAACATCAGCGTGCCCTGATAACAGCTGGAAGCACGCAGATAACTCCTTATTCTTTCTGTTCTTGCTGCTCTTTCTTCAAGTTTCTCCTTGCCTTCCCTGCTGCTACTCGGTGCCTGGTGGTGTTGGCGCGGTGGCATGCCCTCGGTGTCTGAGCTCTTCCTTCTGGAGATGAAATGCCTTTCCCTGATGTCCTGTCACTGCTCACGTGCAACACAGAGGTTGCGGGGAAGCTGCACAAGGCTCCTTTGGGGAGCGGTGCTGGTGCTGGCCTTGCTTTCTGCTGTGCCCAGCAGAGCCGCGGCTGGCTGGAGCTGCTGAAGGCGCCGGCTGGATTCACACCCTGGTAATTATCTGGTTTGGAGGGAGCTCGTGTTCCAAGGAAATAATTGTGCTGTTGCTTTTTATTAGCAAAAAACTTTGTTACGGTGCCTCTTCTAAAAGCTGCTTTGTTTTCTTGGGTGTTAATGCATTTTTCTTCAGCACGATAAAGTCCTGATGCTTGTATGCATCCAACCCCATACATACATACATATACAGTGGTGCATGGTGGCAGCTTCTCCCTGGTGACTTCACGTCTCTGGCATTCCCTGTTTGCACCCAATGGTGCAGTGGCTTGGTTGGGTGCAGCTCCCCGGGGAAGCCAAGCAAACAAGCACCCTGACCTCCCTTGGGGATAATTTGAGTTTCTCCCCAGGCACTGTTTGTCCTTGCAGGCCCTGTGAGTGAGCCCGATGACATCGAGTTTCCTCGGCAGTGCCCTCCGGGGCACCTTCTTCCTCGTTTTTGGTCTCTGGTGGTCTGTGCGATACCCCCTGAAGTATCTCAGACGAAAAGTAAATGCCGAGAACCAGCCAAGCTATGGAGTCCAGCGTGCGGAAGTCTTTGAAGGGGCAGTCAAAGCTTTCTTTGCTCTGGCAGGTAAGGGATGAAGAGTCCTGCAAGGCAGCAGGACCATGCTGCAATCACTCTCCCCCATGGAACCGGGCTTGTTGGGGGGGGATGCTGCTGTGGGAGGGCTTAGGGACAACCTGGTGGCACTATCTGTGGTGGGATCCTGCTGGCATTCCTACAGATGATGCTGGGCAGATACGGTTATGAATTCCCCATCTCAAGGAAACATTTCCAAGTTTGTCTTTTCCTCCATGTAAAAGGAAAACTGTGACCTTTCCGCTCTCTGTCTAGGGATACTGGTGGAGCAGTTTGTTCCCTCTGGTCCCCACATGACGCTGTACAGCCCCAAGACACACAGCTGGACAGACCTCGCCCACTGGCACTACACCACCATGTACCTCTTCTTCCTTCTCTCCGGCATCGTGGACGTTGTCTCGCACTCACCACTGAAGCTGCCGCTTGGCTTGGATCGTCTCTTGCTGTCTGTGGCTCTCTTCATGGAAGGTGAATGACATGGGGTGTCTGGAGGGGTTTACCAGCTGCCAAAAGTCCCCCAGCTGTGCTGTGGCTGGTGATAGGGTGCAGAATGTGCTCCCTGTTCCTCTCCAAACATGAGCCCAGCCACGGCTGGCTGCTCATTGTGCCCAGGGATTTGTGCTTCTCCTGATGACAAGTAGCTGGCTCTCTCTGGAGTCACAAAAATGTGCTGTGCCCACCCAACAGAGAGAAGGAAACCCTGAGGCAAAGCTCCCTAATCCCTTCAGAGCTGGAGGTGCCCATTGCTGTGCTCCTGACAGCTCTGGCTGGGTCACAGGGATGCCCGCGGCTCTAGGGGCTACTCTGTGTGCAGAGCTCACAGGTGGCTCTTCCCATCAGGCAGATCACAGCAAGACCTGGAGCATAGTCGTAATATTCAAATGTGTTTTTTTTAAAAAAAAACAGACAAATCCCTAATGCAGTGTGAATCTTGGCAGGCTTGCTCTTCTGTTTCCATGACTACAGCGATGTTGCGCTGGACCAGCACCTCCACTCCCTGCTGGCCATGGCTATCTTTGCTGGAGCCCTCTGTGCCCTCCTGGAGGTGTTCCTCCGAGACCACGTCATCCTGGAGGCCTTCAGGACCAGCACCTTCCTTCTGCAGGGCTCCTGGCTCTGGCAGGTCAGTGGGACCCAGTGCTCTCCTCTGAGCAGTGGGCAAACTGGATGGGGTTAAACTGGATGGGACATCTTGGTAAGAAACCAGGGGAGACAAGGGTTAGTGCTAGAGCTGTCATGGAGATATGAGCACATAATGCAAGCAGCATGGACAAGCCTGCATAATAAAAAGAGAAATTAGACCCCAGAAGGGTCAGAAATAACAAACATGAGTTTTCATTCTATTTAATTAGGTCCAGTTTCTTCCTTTTTGTTTTAAGTAACTGGAAATATTTGGATGTGTAAACAGCTTAAATCCTCAGCCTGGCGTTTGGGTTGTCAGCTTTCTGTGGGGATGCTGGGCTGCTCTGGGGGCCCTGAGACTTGCCTGCAGAGCATCGCTCTCCTCCTGGAGCTCACCCCTGGGTCCCTGTCCATGTGGGGAGGTGATGGTGCTGAGGGCAGTGGTCTGGGTGTTACTGGGATTATTTTGCCTCCAGCCCATGGTCAGCTGAAGCAGCTTGGCCACAGAGATAAAAACAGGAGGGAAAGCAAAGAGCAACGTGCTAAAGCCTGATGTGTACTGATGCCTAACACCTCCTCTGTCTGTGACCAGATTGGGTTTGTGCTGACCCCTCCGTGGGGAGGACCAGGCTGGGATCAGACCGACCGCAGCAACATCACGTTCCTCACCATGTGCTTCTGCTGGCACTACGCGGGTGCCCTCGCCGTCCTGGCAGCCAACGCAGCCGCGTCTCGCTGGTACGTGGGTGAGAGGGGCACAGAGGGCCAAGAGCACCTCCAAAACCCTGTCCTGCCCTGGAAACCCCAACACCTGTGTTGTGGGTTAGGAAAACCATGTGTCCATGGGGAGCATGGGCTGCTCCATGGCTTGGCTGGAAGGGATGGGGAGGGCTGGGTGCTGCTGCAGAACTGACAGCTCTGCTGCCTGTAAGCACCTGAGCTGTGTTTCTGTCTCTCCCTGCAGCTGCAATGAGTCCTGCCAGCTGAAATTTGGGGACATCGACGTGGAGCTGGACTGCGGCATGTGCATCCGCAAAAGCAAGGGCTCCAGCGGCGCCCTGCTGCCAGAGAGCGGCTTGGATGACAAGTGATGCTGTCGGGTGTTTCCCTTGTGGAAACTCCTTCCTGCTGGTCTAGAGCTACTGAAATGAGGTTTTGAGTTTTGCCTTGTTGACCTGCACCGACGCTTGATGGGGGAGCACCAGAAGCGGGAGGCAGGGCCCTGAAGCCAGAGCACAGCAGCAGGCACTGAGCTGCTCCTGCATGCTGCCGGCATCCTGCTGGCAGCAGCACGCCCAAACCAGGCTCCTCAGGGAAGGTTTTCCTAATTTTCTCAGGCTGCTATCTGCGGGGCTGGTTTACTGGTGGAGTCTGCCTGGTGTAGCTGATTTGGCTCTTATTGAACCCGGCCCTCGCTGCTGGAGGCAAACTGCCCTGTGAGCCCGCTCCGGCATCTGTCGCTTGCTCTGGTGTTAATGGAGGGGGTTTTGTACAAAGCTTAATGTGCACAGCGTATACGTGGTCACCAATAAAGTACTTTAACAAACCATGATGATGGATCGCTTCAATGTCATGCCTTCAGGATGAAAGCATGGGGAAGGTGATGTCCGGATTCCAAGCTGTTTGGAGGGTGAATGAAAATCAAAGGGACCGGGCTGTGGGGGACGATGTCACTCCATGTCCCCAGAGAAAGGGGCAAGGATGGAGAGGATGGGGTTGCATGATTGCAGGGGCACATCGCTGCAATTCTGCGTGTTTTCAACTAAAATTTAAGAGGGTGAAGGAGGTAATTGGAGTAGCCTCTTTGCCAGGGATTTTGGTGTACCTGGGAGATGGGGCGTTTGCCTGGCGGGGTTCAGTGTGGAGAGAGAGCCTTTGGAGCAAGACAAAAGCTTCAGCAGGACTGGGTTGGACATACAGATACTGCTGGTAGGTCTCTGAGACCTGGGCTGTGCAGCAACCTCAGCTCAGGCATGGCTTTTCTTCTCAGCCAGCTGTATTCCCTCCCCAGAGCTGGTCGCTTCCACTGCGGACAGCAACAAAACCTCAGTGCCTGCTTTGCACTTGGTGCCCATGTTGTTTTTTTGTTTTCTCTTACATCCTTCATTTGTTTAGCAGTTAAACAGCATAGGGAGATGCTTCCTGTCATCAAGATCAAAACCTAATTTAGAAGCTGTCATTAAACAGGATTAGTGAAAACAGCAAGTTCATCAGAAAGTGGAGACGTTTAAAGTGGTTGTGCCATGTCCCTTTTTAAGGGCTGGGCAAACAGCTTTGCTGTTGTTTTTAATACCTTTGCTGAGCTTCTCCCCAAACACACACAGAAACAGCTTAGCCCAAACTCTACTGCTGGTCTGCACAGTTTCAAAAACACAGCCAAGCCCTGGGAGGAGAGAAAAACCCACCCTGGCTTGAAGCAGTCACAGTTCCCAGCCCTGCACAGTCCCTGGAATTGATCACTTCAGATTTCATTTAATTGCATTTTCTCCCTTTGGAGCAGGGCTGGAAGAAGACCAACATGTGCTGTTGGCAGTGTTGTGCCCATTGAGGAAAGGATCTTGAGGAGCAAAGGAACCAAGGTGAGTACAGCTTTTGGCCTCCCACATTTGACACGGACACAAGTGGCTCTGACTTGTATTTGGGGCTGTAAAGCTGGCTGGCACGCGTGAGCCGTGATTTCCCCAGGAAATCTGATGTCGTTAGCTGGTGCTGATGTACATCTTCTGCGCCTGAGTGAGAGCTTCAAATGTGCTACAGTGGAGGTGATGTGCTCTGGTTATTAATAACTCTCATGGGACTAGAAGCAGGGTCATTCGGTCAACTTGTTATAGACTAGCTGCCATTAACGGGAAGCTTAGTGCATAGGTCGTAACCCTATGTACTGTACTTTGATTGAAAAGAAGGGGAAAAAAAATCCTCTTTTCCCCTTTGATCAACTAATGTCACTTTTTTCCCATTTTTTCTTGTCTTGCTATTATGTAGGGAATTTGGATCCTCTCTCTTACTGACGGAATTTTGCTATTTAAAGCTTAGATCTTTAGCAGAGATGTTTTTTCTTTCCTTGAAGAAACACAAATAAGGGCAAATACTTAATGATCATTTTGACTGAGCTTAGCAGGACCACGTTCTGAGCCTATAGTGAATACCCAAAGGTTTCTTTGAATAGCGTGCACAAAATTACCTGCCATCTAGCTGGGTGATAGAGGTCCCATATTTGAGATATGACTCATGTTTATTGGGTCAATAGAGTAGAAAGAAATAAGCAGATTGTTGTCACTGTAATTGCATTGTAGAGCGGTTCCTAGCTAGCCTCCATATGGAATTTATATCCTCTATAACAAGCCTTTAACCCAAAGCACTCCTTCCCTTTGAAACTGGAAGGCGATAAAACTCACCGACTAGACAGCGGTATCAGTTAGGAAAGTCTGCACTGTCTGCCCCAAATCTGGCCATACTGGTCACAAACCGAGGACAGAGATGGGTGATCCTGAAATCAGGTGTATAGACCTGTGACATCTCCCTCTGTGTGATCCCTGCCCCTTCGAGGTGGGTTATGATGTGTGCCTGGGTGGGTTTAATTACCGGGGACCTGATAATTACACACAGCCCCAGCTTCTGCTGTTCCCCTGCTGGTGTAGTAGCACCGTTTTGTGCAAGAACATCTAATTCCTTGTGGCGCTCTCATGGCCCATCTGTGCTTTAGGTCCCCAGAGAGGCAGCAGCAATGTGGACGTGCTGCTCCGGGGCTGAAATTTTTTTCTCATGGTCTGAGGCTTCTGGAATTACCTTGGCCAGAAAACAAAGCCTCGATCTGCACGTTTGCAAGTCATTAATGCTTAACTAAATGGCACCGCCAGAGCCAGGAACTAAGGTAATGCTTACCTGCTTTTTATCACCATTTCCTGTCCATTAGCATACCGAGACCAGTGTTTTTAGTGGCAAATATTCTCTGTTGCACAATTACAGCAGGGAATTAATTCAGCTACTCACAGTGCATGCGAGCTGAAGAACCAGACCATCCAAACAGCATTTGGTTAAGGATTGCAAGAAAACCAGGGAAAGGGGGAGAGAAGTTTTTCCATTTCCACAAATGCTCTGCTGAGGGCAAGTGTCAAGGACAGGATTTTTCCCTGTGTGAACGTGGGGAATTGGCTGTGAAAGCCTTCAGAGAGATGCCAGTAAATGCAAGGTGTGATTTGAGATACCCCCTCGAGCTGGCAGGAAGAAGGAGAAACTCCTCGAGACTCCATGGAGGGGGGCTGCTAGAGGACTTGAAGAGCTTTGCTGGCTCTCAGTACCTAGCATCCTCATGCAAAACTTTGTTGTTGTTGCTGAGAGACTTGCTGGAGGTTCATGGTTAAAGAAGAGTTGAAATTAGCACTTTATGCACCACTAAAATCTACTATTTCAGTTTAATTAAAAAGTTTCCAAACTTAGTGTAATTGCTGTTCAGAGGATAACTTGATTTTCTAGGTCACTTTACTCATCTAGAACAAGCATATTTTATTTTATTTTAATAAGTCTTAATGTATTTCTTGCCTTTCAACTCAGCTGATTTAAATAAGAACAAAAACCAGCACATGCTTACACATACTCTTTAAGGATGCAGAACTTGAATCTCCTCTAAAACTTATGGGCAGGTAATATACGATAAAAACAAAGTGCAAAACTGCTGATTGCAGCTATTAATGCATTGGCTGGGCCCTAGCTATGCCAACTGCCTGTACGTGGCACTACTGCAGAAGGGGTCCCCCAGTTACTGCCAGCCCACCTACATTTGTGCAGGGTGTGCGTGGGCACCTCTGTCATGAGCAAATGCAATGTGCTGGAAATCCACCAGAGCAACTGTAGGCTGACAAAACTACATTTAGCATGCACGTGTGCCCAGGCAAACAGCCCCTTTGCTAGGGGCTTGAATGGGGGGATGCGTTGAGAGCATAAGGCGTAAGTTATAATTCAGAGAAAAGCAATTGGTAAGGCTTGCTGCAAGCAGCACCGAAATATCTGGCTGTTTTCACTGCTGCTAGGTGCAACCCAGCTGGGGTCTCACACACACCAGCCACTCGCAGCAGAGAAAGGTTGGCTCACACAGTTTACCTTCTGCAAGGCCGTTATTTTGGAGGCTGCCCCTGTTGGTGCAGCTTCTGATTTGAGGGTGGGATGCCTGCAGGCTCGGGCTTTGGAAGATTTGGTTTTGAGGACGTTTATGGAGGTCTGCTGGCTGGCCTGCTGTGCTGGATGCAGCCTCTCCCTTTCCACCAAGGGCTGAGCACCCTGCCCAGCTAAATGGGCGATCCTGTAGTTCTCGTGGGGCTGTTGCATTTTACTTTGGTCTTAAAACTTGGGCTTCAGCATTTCCCTTGTTCAGGCTGAAGAACTTAGCACCATGGTGGGCCGGGTTCTTGGCTGATGGGGGTTCGGCAGCGCAGACGCTGGGGCTGCGTGTGGATGGTGTGAGGCTGGTCTCGCTGTGGTGCTCTGGCTGTTCTGCTGCTGCGTAATTCTGGGTTTCAGCAGCAGTTACACAACATGATGGAGACAAGAAACTAATCGTTAATGTCTTTGTACTAAAATTCATGAGACTCAAGACCAGCAAACGCTTTGCCGAATGTGTGTGTGTAAGACGATGCTCATAAATCATGCTGTGTGAGAGTCTCAGTGACACTTACATTAGAGTGGCTTTATTGAAATAATGTTCAATTTTCCCCTTGAAGTATCGTCTGTGGAATTTAACCTGTCTGGGGCTGCTGGGATCACTCATGTCTTGCCTGACATGTGGATAGGTATATGAATTTTTGGCCGGCAGTTTTTCCAGTGCTGCTTTGAAAATAGATAGGAACAACTGCAGTTGGGGGGGGGGAAGGGGGCATAGTAAAAACTAAGTGTGCTGATGTGTTTCATGAAATAAATTGCTGTGTTCATAGGGCGTCCTTCAGTATCAAACAGCAGCACTGTAACTTTACAGCCGCTCAGCAAACAGGCAAGATGTAATGTGAATATTGCTTCAGGTGAGAGCAGCTGCCTCCTAAGGCATAGAAGCACGTGGGCAACTTCAGGTGAGCCCAAAGCTCTGGATATAGTGGTGATATTTCAAATCAAACTCAAAAAATAATTCCAGTCTGGATTTTAAGCTAAAGCCTGGTAGTAGCTCTTTGTTTTACAGGACGTGATGAGGTTCATGCAGGTATGGTGTTGTAACACTGCTCTTGGGCTAGCTGTCTGTGCTGGGTGCTTGTCTGAGAAACACCTGGGATATAAATCCATAAAAACGTGGTGAACATAGATGGTTCTGTCCTGCTTCCAGCTAAGCCTCCTTCCTGAGTGCTCGTAGACAAATCCATGCTAGTACCTGAAAAGGTGAAATAAATGCTTAGGCTGCGCTGTGCAATGTATCAGGAGCAAGGAGGGTGCTGGGCATGTCAGAGGCAGCACAGCTGATGAGAAGTGCTCTCTCCAGACAGGGATTTTAACCATAATGGACAGAATAGAACTGGCAAAATGCCAGAAGATTACTTTTTTTTTTTTTTTTTTTTAAAGGGAGTTCTGAGG